ATGTCTGAGCATACGGAGGTTCAGCTTTCATGGCTCCACTTCCATACATGGCTCGAGAAACTCGCGGGGACCACCTCAAAAACACACACACGATCGAGAGCAAGCTTAGACTATGCCTGCCCTGCCAGGGTTGTTACGACTAGACTCTTCTTTATCTAAGGGACAACACGCAAAGGGGCTCCCAGGCTGCAAGTTGCATCGAAGCTGCTGGAAAATCAGCATTAGTCGTTGTCTTGATGGTGGAACGGCACCTCGTAGAACATCTTGCGAACCTGCGGTTATGGGAGAAACAGTAGCCTCGGGCACCCATGGCTATCGACTCAACAGGAATTGCTTCTGGCCGCTGTGACTCCATAAGGACTGTGCAACTCAACTCCTCGTGAGCCCCACGTTTATCTGCTTAGACTTCAGTACGAGCCAACGGCCAACAGTCCCCGAAGGTCTTTGTATCAGAGTAGCAACTCAAGTCTGAAACCTACTGGAACTAATCATTGATATCACTGGCTGCCGCTAGCTGCGCTTGGTTGAATACGGCTGACCTTTTCGGTGGCCAACGTCGCACCACCCAAAGCCGCCCCCGAGGCGACCAAGGGCCAGGAGACCGTGCCCACAATGCCTGCCACGCAGCGCAGGACGTGTCCTACACTGTCCTACGATCCTACTGGTAATCGGCGGTTCCAAGTTCTGGGCCATCACGGCATGAAAGGGGAATGACATGATTGAAATGGCGAGCACAGGTGGTGATATCTGCAAAGCGAAGCTTGGCCCTCCTGCCTGCCGAAACGCACGCCAAGGCCTGCAGCTGTTGGACATTCCAGCAGTCGGAGCTGTGGCAAGACTTAAACTCTGAGACGGTCCATATCTGTGTGCGGACGAAATGCACCACTTGCGAGGACAGACACTCGCTTCAGCAACGTGTCGGCTGAAGTGCTTTCAAGCTTCTCGCAATGCTGCTGAAGCTACAGACACATTTTTCATTCTTATCTAATGGACAATGGTCGCAGTCCACACTGCAGAGCTTTCTCATCGAGGCATCCCACAACTGCGCCGCTTGGCCCCATTTGTTCTGGCCGCTGATTGGAAACGGCCGGGAATACTTTCCGGTAGCTTGTGGATTGTATGGGTTGTGGAGCCCTCCCGACTAAAACATAAAAGCATGTTTGCCCGACCCTACGGGAGCTATGAAATGCTTCTGATTCTAAAAGACATATCTTCCCTTCCCCTTTCCTGACACGCCAGACCTGCCAGCTATCAGGGCAAACCCCCTCCCGATCATCGATCAATCCAGAGTCAGAGGCATCTGAGACTGCTGCCGAGTACTTGAACACCTTGTTCAGCCTGTTAGTCCACCTGCGACGACTTCGGCATGTTGAACTGTAGCCAGTAAACAGCTGCAAGGTCAAACGGCAAGACACCACCGACAACAAGAACAAGAACAACGGCAACAAGAAGAAGACGAAGAACAACAACAAAAATAACAAGAATAACAAGAACAACGCGAACAACAATAACGACAACGACAACAACAACCGAAGCAACAGCAACAACAACAACAACATCAACAACCACAACCACAACGACGACGACGACGACGACGACGACCACAGCAACAACAACAACAACAACAACAACCAACCAACCGCAACAACAACAACAACCACCAACCACCAACCACCAACAACCAACAACCAACAACCAACAACCAACAACCAACAACCAACAACAACAACAACAACAACAACAACAACAACAACAACAGCAGAGCAGCAACAGCAACATCAACAGCAACAGCAGCAACAACAACAACAACAACAACAATAACAACAACCAACCAACCACCAACCACCAACCACCAACCACCAACCACCAACCACCAACCACCAACAAACAACAAGAACAAACAACAACAACAACAACAACAACAACAACAACAACAACAAGAACAAGAACAAGAAGAACAAGAACAAGGTAGCACGTGCGTTTGCTGCCGCGCGGGGTGTGTCGTTTATGTCTGGGACGTTTTTGGGGTCAAAGCGCAAAAGTGTCAATATTTGTGTGGTTTTTGTATGGAAAGGACAAAAACGCGAGTTTTTTTGCATGGTTGGCGTTTCAACAGTAAGCTATCAACGAGGGCAACAGTGAGCAACTGGTGGCGTTTCAGTCAGGCAGCAACATTGTCATTTGCATGGTCATCAATGATATCAGCTTAGGTATCGTTATCGGCATTCTTATTTGCGGCAGTCACAGTCAACATAGGCAACAGCACATGAACAGCATCAACATCAGAATCAGCGTCATTTGTACAGTGAGCAGCCGTAGTTTCGTTTCTTAGCTTCTGGGTGGCCTACAGAACAAACCGCATTCGCATGGACGTCATCATCCCCCCGCCATTCCCCCCATCCCCGCCAAGGCAGAACAACAGAAACACAACAGAACAAACCTCATTCGCATGGACGTCATCATCCCCCCCCCATCCTCACCAAGGCACAGCAACAGAAAGACAACAGAACAAACCGCATTCGCGTGGACGTCATCCCCCCCATCCCCACCAAGGCACAACAACACAAAGACAACAGAACTCAAACACACAAGCAAGTCCACGCAGGCATGTGCGAAAAATCGAGTCTCGGCACAGTGAGACCGGAAACTAGGAACACACAGGAGCAAACGCTGCAAAAGGGATAGCTGATATGATATATTTTTTGCACAGTGCATCGTTTTAGCACATGCCTGCTCCAAATTTGCTCCACCCCGCGCGGCGGCAGACGCACGTGCTGCCAACAACAAGAAGAAGAACAACAAACACAAAAACAACCACAACCAAAACCACAACAGCAACAACAACAACGACAACGACAACGACAACGACAACGACAACAAACACTAATAACAATAATACAAATACAAATTCTGCAGCAGCAGCAGCAGCAGCAGCTACAACTACAACGCCTCATCATAACCATCACCATCATCGTGAAACCACCCGCCACGAGGGCCACAAGCGCACTCGTCATGATGATCATCGTCGTCATCGTCGTCGCCTTCATCGAAGCCACAGCACGAACCGTCGTCAGTATTGTCAGCAATATATACTACCATCGCCATCACCAACATCCTCACCATCATCACCAGGTTCATCTTACACATGATCAGGGTGCTGGCTCAGCTTCATCGGTATTCGAGGTCGTCATCCTCTCCACCACCAGCAGCAGCCGCAGCAGACAGCAACACTGAACTGATTCGCAGGTGGTGACAAATCCTTTTGCTGGTGATGGTGATGAATATTGATATCAGCAGTGGCGGTCGCCAAACTGCATTACTTGCAGCGCAGAACGTCTAAAGAAAAGGCCACTTCAATCAAAATCCCCGGATCCTACGCCCGCGGACCTCAAGGCTTTCTGGCAGCTTGTGCACTGGGACGTATGCGTCCTTGGCTCACTTGGCATTCGGGAGATGGTGATCACTTTGGCCTGTCTATCCTAACCGGGCGACGCCTGTGCCGGCGCCTGAGACTGAGTCTTGTGCTTGTAGGTGTCGAAAAGCAGGTGCTTGTCAGGCATCGCCTCAGCATCGCTTGCGGCATTTTCAGGGCACAGCGTGAACAATCCGCCATGCAAACCCCTTTCGGCTCTGTTCTGCCACCAGGCAACATCCAAAGCCTTTCCATCCGAAGCTCTGGCCATGGTTTGGCGCATTTGCCGGGACCCGTTCCATCGCGCCTTCTCTGGTCCTTATCCCTCCACTATACCTAACACCTAAGCCGCCACAGAAGCCCTAAACCCAAAACCCTCCCAAACCCCCAACGACAAACCGAGTTGGACTCTTGGGCTCCTGGGGCCCCAGCTGCCATGTCCGTGTCGACACCTGGGCTCCAGGCCTTGGCAAATCCGTCAAAACAACAGATCCTCTACTTGGAGGTTCATGGGTAGTTATATAAGTGGGGTTTCATGGGTAGTTATAAGTGGGGTTATAAGTAGGGTAACTATAGTTATAACCCATATTTGGGGACTTTTTAACTCCACTTATAACTACTCATGAACCTCCAAGTACTGAAATTAAAGTACTTACTGTATGGGTAGTTCTCTAAATTAGGGTCCCTTTTAGGGTGCCAAACTAGATCGGGGACCTAAAGGGGTACCTAATTTAGAGAACTACCCACATATTGGTCATTAGAGCCGTGAACATGATATAAACTGCACCGTTAGCATTCTTATGAACATCATCACATAGACTGTGACCAATGTGTTCTGGTTATCGTTGTTGTTACTTCTACTCGATTCATTCGAATGTCTTGCGAGCCGTGCTTGGCAGGCAGGGTTGACTCAAAAGATCAGAACCAAACGATGTGTTGTTCTTCGTCAAACCGGAGAATCTATACCCTGAGGATCTGATAGCCGATGAACGGTTAAGGAAAGGAGATTCCTTTCAGACCCGATGCTAATCGTTTGAGGCGGCAAGATGTTCTCCATAGCCAAGACTCATACAATTCTACAATATTCTGGCTGCTGCTTTGAAAATCTTTGAACGCTGACTTTTCGCATGGGGCAAGCATTTAGAGTTTAATGTGTTGGATCAGCCTTGATTCGCAGCTGCTGGTATTGTCTGAGTTCATGCACATCCTTGCCCCGAACCTAAATCGGCCACCAGCTGGAAGCCTCCCAAGTGCAGTGATAGCGCTATGGAACTTTCCAGCAGCTTGCATGGCACCAGCGCAGGAACTTTGAGGGCTGGGCGATGCCACCGTTCCTCGGTCAGGACGTGCGCGCCAACTCAGCAAGTACTATGTTTCTGCTGCGCGGTTTTAGTTCAGCGGATGCTAGAACTTCGGTTGAGGACAACAACTAAGGATGTAAGCAAAGGCTCTTATCAAGCCACCGCCGCAAGGCAATAGTGCCCTTGTCGGCCTCCGTTGGCATCCAATAGGCCCTTGGCAAGCAGCTGTCCACGGCTAGGCTCAAAGTAGGGTGGGCCACGGCAAAACATAGGTTGCTCTAGAGCTCGTCTGAAGCCGGGTCTACGGTCGGGATGCATCAATCGAAGCTCTTTCCCTTGCAGAGCCGAGTTCTGTGCTGCATCCAGTCATTGCCGTGCCTGGGGTGAATAGGTAAGCACGGACAACTTGTGGCTGCATGTCACTGTACTAAAGTAAAGACTTACCATCCTATGGTTCTAAAAAGACGCGTCAGGCAGTACAGCTTTCTGGCCTCAACTGCAGAAGACTGAGCAAGGTGCATGCACAACGGCCAGTAGTTTGGGGCAGCACTTGGGACATGCATGCTAGCGCAAACCCGTGACGGGGCAACATAAACTACTGCAGGCACAGACTGGTGCTGATAGAGCGTCGGCACTTTTTGCAACAAACACTTGTGGGCGTGACATGCAGCGAATTATTGATTCAGCAGTGTGATGACGCAATGTCGGGCTCAAGTGAGCAGCTAGTCGTGCAAGGATGACCTTCGGATGCACCCACAACACCTAGAATGCTCCTTTCCTGGCGCCACCAGAACCGAAGAAGTTGCACACACACCTCTTTAAACTTGGGCATGTGAGAGCAAAGTCCTCCGTCATGCGTGGCAGGGCCGTGACTGAAACCGTTGATGCTTCTCTCGGTTTTGCAGAAGAATCCTCATCGAATGAGACATAACATAGGGAGAATCAGAAGTGTTTGATTAATCGCAACCAGAGTCAGCACAAAACGAATAACAGGAAGCAGACGGAGCATGATCAAAGCCCAACAGGATGACGACACTCATACACCCATAGAAACAACTAACGTGCTGCATGTATTGTTGTCGAGCTGGAATGTGGATTTCAGCTGGGAAATGCGATATCAGCCACACATGCTTCACTGAAGCAAGTTCAGAGAATGCTTCAAGCTCCACCCACGGCCCTTGCGATCCACTGCTTCGAAACGCCCATTAAGCACCGGCAACAATGCCGTCTGCACCTTTGAATCAGCTCGAGTCGGAGAAATTTTAGAAGGGGTATGCAGCATGTCGAAGTATGGATCGTCGGTTTCTATCGCAACCTGAAGTTGCATGTGTTCTCAAACTCCTAGTACAGCACATGTTGCCGCCCGCTCGGCGCACTGGACGCTGGACTGAAGCTGCTTGGCGGAACCGCAGCATCAAATTAATGCATGCTTTGTTGACGGCGGTCCAGTCCCCATGCGTTCACCTCACAGGAACTGCCGGCTTTTCTGACAATCGGCTTTCGGACGCGCTGTCCTGCAAGCCCTCGTCATGTTGGAGCCTGCATTTCACGGGCGGAGTTCCTATCAAGGCCAATTTAAGGTACTGCTACAAAGATAGCAGAACGGACACATGCTGACATCGATAGAGGTGGCAATGAAACATGGCCGAACGACAAGGGTATGACAGCATTTGCTCATCGGCCAGCTGCAGCTTGGCAAGCTTATGGTGACCGAGATGATATGCCGCATCGAGGGTCAACATTGTGAATAGGCTTTTCACGGTCTTACGCACTTATAGGAAAAAAGTCCTCAGGCTCCACATCACATCGCGCAAAACAGCACAGCAAGAGCAACACTCACCGAAGTCGGCGTGGGATGGCCCATCGGGCAGGCGGTTCAGCGCCGGAACGGTTGATGAAGTAGAAGATATGCCAGGAGGGACGGACGAAACCAATAGCATGCCAAGCAGCTGCATGTGATGTCTTGCGTATCCCTCTGGCATACGTACTGCATCAAGTATCAGAAACTTTGCATGAAGCCTGTGCTTGAGGTTGTGTAATTCTGCAAGGCTACATTATGCTACATTGAACGATAGGAGTTTGTGGGTTGTTGCGCAGCAGGCTTCAGCAGCGAGCGTAGCCTCACAGGCAATCAGCGGCGAGGAAAAGCCACGACAGGCGTTCCGATGTACGCTTCTGCCTCCTGACAGCATCGGGGAGGGTTTGGGCACCATTCGCAGTCTGTTGAAAGAAGAAGTTCGGTGGTATTGAACTCACCCCGCCTAGCACCCCCAGTTAAGCCGCCTGACAGTCTTCAGTGAGGCTGCAAGCCCCAAGCCGGGTCTCATTGATGACAAACACAATGTCCAACCCTTGGGCTCCTGCAGAGGCCGCGAAAACGCGGCAGGCGAGACGTTGCGCATGCGGGAAGGCGGAGAGGGAGGCTTCCTTTGCAGGTTCTGTCGAAACATTGCCGATCGTCATCTCGATTTCAAAGACTGTCTCTCCAGTGCAGTGAACAGCCACATCTTGCATGGACGCTCAGAGATGATACCACTAGGCCCTGGGTCACATGTGCCGCCGTGATTTTGTTCGTTCCACAATGTGGAACTGTGAACAGCCTGATGAGTAAAAAATTGCCGAGGCCAGGGTGATGCCCTTGCAGGCCCACAAAATGAGGAACCATCTGATTGCCAGTGCCAAAATTACGCCCAAGATGGTGGCACAGGTGCAGGACTAGCTCACGAAAATCAGCCAAGGTTCACTGCAAAAGCTGTCGTCTCCTCCAGGCTGCCCAAGTAATGAGCAACAAGTATTGCTGGGAGAAACACTACAGTAGTTGTCAAGCTTGGGGGTGTCGGCTTGAATGTTTCCCCTACTGCAGCGTCGACAACTCCAAATGCACCATGCCAGGGCATGTTGGAAAGACACACAGTTTTTACACCGGAACATCTTTCACGAGCCTGACGCAGCTCCAACACCAGTCAAAAGCCCTGTGCCAAACAAAGCAGAAGCTGCACCCGTAGTGTCCCGGCTCGGGAAGATCGGGCTGGCAGGCGTGTTTACGGATCGGCACCTTCAGCAATATGCAAGTCACATGCTCATTTCGCAGCTTATCACAATTGTCACTGCGAGACAATCAATGAAACACTCGCCTCAGCTCTCAATACGCCAAGAATCGCCAAGACAGCCAAGGCACGATACTTGTGGGGACCACATGACCCTCGGAGCAGATGCCGACGGCACAGGGGCCTGGGAGGCACCCCGCCGCAACACATGTTTTACAGTCTACATGCCCTTGCAGCCTGAGAGATGATTTCTGCCGGCCACTACATCTCCAAACATTCAGTAACACCTGCCATCAAAGCATCGTGAAGCCACGGCAAAGAAGTCTGTAGCTGATTCGATGTGCGAGATGTGCGCAAGCGGAGAATAGCTTGCTTCACTAAGCGTACGTTTTAGCTTATACTCTGACCAGAGGCTGTGCTCCCAGATCGGAAAGCAGCTCGGTATGTACAGCATTTGCACCACAGAGTGGAAAAATGTGATGTGACAGAGAAAGACGGACATTGCCTGCAAAGGCTGACTTGTCAAACATGACATGTCCCTGTATCTTCCAGCCCAGTGACAGCTGCCAGCGGCACCCGGCTGGGATCTACGAAGAGGCTTTTGGCCTCTCCAGTCAGTTTGAGCACGGGATTCCAGGCCGAAACATCGCGTTCGAAGTCCTCCCTAGAACGAAGTTGATGGGGACCTTTGACCAAAACGTTCATCTATGAGTGTCATGATGACGATGTGTGGTATCATGTCTTATCACTATCTAGGGACATGGTTCCACTGGTTTGCCCGTTACGGCTCTGATGTTTTTTCAGCTCTTTCGAAGGAGAAAACGCCAAGGTGGTTCCATCGAACCAACGATAACCACATGACGCTCAAGCGAAGTCCGTTAAATAGCGCACACCTGCTAGCCGCCGAGGCTTTTCAGTGAACGATAAGAGCATCATTATTCTTGCTTGGATGCTTCGCAGACTTTACCCTGATAAGTGCCAACGCGGCGCACAGTGTCTTCAGGGGAAAGTTCACGGACCCTACACCAGAGCAAGTTTCAACCTCAAGTCGGGCACAAACAGGATAAAGGCCAGTGCCACAGAAACCCGTAGCAGGTATTGGCTCGTGCAACTGCTACACATCGATCTTATGAAGGCTGTACACTAAACTTGAAGCACTCCCACTCTCGACCTCACCGTGTTGAAGCCTCCACAGGTCTCCCGGGCGGATAGCTGCCCAGAGTGTTGCGGCCAGCACAGCTCGTGCAGGAGCCGTCCATGCCTGGGCTTCGAGCTGCGATCTTCAAAGGGGAGGGCAGAGTTTCGACTCTCGCACTCGGACAATCCAGGTAAGGTCCGAAGCCGTACCAGGGTGGAAGGCTACCTGTACCAGTGCCTTTTGTGTTGGTCTACGACTACACAGCAAAACTCCGCTAATCTTTGTAGCAAAAGCTTGGTACAGAGCCAATGTCACCCGGCGTTGGTCACCGTTAAATGCCACCTGTTGTGGATGCTCTGGGCTTCAAAAACACGTCTACTCTTAAAGCCAACTCGGTATACTCAAGTCTCCTCATCGATCCTGATCTCTCGACCCCCACACTTGATTGGTTGCAGCCCAGGCCTACTATGCTTCTTTTTTGTAACTGTGTTTCCCGCTGCCCCAGCCTTACAGCACGATCTGTGGAACTCGGACTACATGGTCTGTAGGTGGAAAGGTGGCGTGTTGTACCCCTTTTTGCATCAGAGCTTGTGCAATCGCCTGAACTACGGAGCAGGTAGTCGCCCTCACGACTAAGACCATGACAGACTTCTATTCCGTCCCCCGCCGACAACTTTATAGACTCTGCTGCTGATTCAATAGTGATGCAATGATGTGGCGAGAGCTAGAAGTGCTGCTGCACTTGTAGAATGTAAGTAACCGGATATCAGATCAACCCGAATGCTGGTTTTCAGTTAAGTAAAGCTCCTAAGACTGCGTCATTGTGGCTCTCTGTACGTATGCCCATGCCTGAAGAAGTTTGTGGGATTTTGTTCCTTCGGACATCTCGGACTGAGGACCGATGCCAATGCAGCCGCGGTACAGCCACAGCAGTTGGACGGAGGCAGCGCGATGTTCGAAGTTTGATTCTGCTTTTTGGGCATGGCCTCTGCTGTTACGCATGCAGCTAGCTCTCTTCGTTTCCAGAGCTCGACTCACTCTCGACTCTACGTCATGTCCTGTGCAGTGGCTCTGGGCAGACATCAAACTCGAGAGATGCCATCAGGCGGTAACCCCAGAATGCGATCGAGAGGCCGGGGGTACCACCAAGCGGCCATCCGAGTCAGGAACCGGCACTTGGATGCTGTGTGCTTTTTTGGCCGTCTGTGCCTGCCCACAGTGAGCATATGCCTGCCTCGGTCGAGCTGTGGCTCTCAACAGACTTGCTTATCTATCGACTGCTGCCCTCATGAAGGCAAATGGACCAGAAAAGGAGGTGATGGCAACTGTCTGCCAAAAGAACGACAAATCACCAAGACGTGGCAAGATAAAGCAAAAGGGCGTCTAGACAATTCGATGTTGCCCTGACGCACAAGAGGCCAGCGCTTTCGTGCAAGAACCATTGCACGCCAGAGGCACTTGCTGATGTTTGCGCTGGGAGGGGTCGCGGTATGGGCCAGTGTTCGCGTAGAAGCCACGATACCTTGGAAACCAAGCATAGAACAACGAACAAAAAGCCTTGCACCCCTGGATCTCCAACAGCAAGCACATGGACCCAAGAAAAGTTACATCTTCTTCAAAGCGATGCCGTGTCTTCATTGCCAAACGATACCTTAAGCAGAAGCTTTACTTTAAGCACTGGAAGACAAAAACTAACCTACTGAGGCCCAAATGAGTCCGGGTGCTGTCCTGCCTGTCGTGCACTCGCTCGCGGCTGACAGTACGTCTCCCGAGACTGATGCCTTAGATCTCTGTTTCACTACTACTACTCCTCCTCCTGCTGCTGCTGATACTGCTGCTGCTGCTGCTGCTGCTGCTGCTACTACTGCTGCTACTGCTACTGCTACTGCTACTGCTGCTGCCACTGCCACTGCCACTGCCACTGCCACTGCCACTGCCACTGCCACTGCCACTGCCACTGCTACGACTACTACTACGACTACTACTACGACTACGACTACGACTACGACTACTACTACTA